CGGGAAGGTCCGATGCGGGAGATCGCGGGAGAAGCAGTCGGCGCTGTAGATGAGCGGACGATCGCGGGAGAGGCACGATCGGACGCGGACGTAGACGATCGGAGAGAGGCGTGATCTGTCGAGGAGCGGCGCTCGAATACGGGCGATCGGGGTAGCCACAAATTAGGGCAGCGCTTGGTAACTACGACGATCGCAGGAGAGAAGGGCCGTGATCGAGCCGAGCGGGAGAGGCTCTAATACCATGTGAATTTTTGAATAATTTTTTTTCTCGCTGAATACATAGATAATTCACCTATAAATAGGTGAGTACAAGAGATAAAAAAGAGGAAAGAAATCTCCCTACAATTAAGTAATTCCTATAATTATGGAATAAACATAAATACCAATAATTAAGGAATTACCCTTTTTATATTATGACTAAATATAGCAAGTACTAAATAGAATTAAAGAAATAATAATGAGCGTAATTCCACACTAACTAATCTACACAATGTATTAGCAATCAATCATCTGCCTTTCTACTCTATATCTAGCCATGGAGAATGTTTATTTTTTCTTTACAATTTTATTTTTTTTGATAGCTCCAAATCAAACTTTGAACTTGATTTATTTTTAAAATCTAACATCTTTTAACTATATATATATATATATATATAGAAGTGGTATGCCACCAAAAAAAATTATATAATCAAACACAAATTTTAATAGGCTAACTTCCAAATTCAATTTAAAATCATTTGAGTTTCGTTAAATTTATTGAAATGCTCTTCCCAAAATCTATAAATAAAACCCAGTTTTTAACATAAAGAATAGAAGAAGAAACTAAGAACTATATCCATAATCTTCAAAAGATTGTCGCCCACCACCACTAGCAGTTGTTATAGTCTGGTTGTTATTCTCAAGGGATTGTTGACTTATCTTTGTAATTCGATCAAAACATTGCAACCTCATCTACTCTACTGAAAGAGAAGAGCGAAACTCTCTACATATATACCTCGAAGGCACGCACATACAAAAACCTTGCTGGAAAGTTAGTAGTTGACAAAACATTATTAGAAAAACTCTTTGAAAGTAAATGGATGGTAGATCTATATTAAAAAATCTTAAAAGACAAAAAGCCGCAAAATATATATATACTTCAAGACTCGGAAAAAACATGTGCACTAAAAAATTTCATAAAGCTAGAAGCCTTGAAGATTACAGATAATCAAAAAGCTATATACCTCAGAAGGTACAAACACGTTAGAAATTTCAAAAGTTAAAGTCTTTGATGGTATAATTAAATTAAAAATCAAAGAAGATTATAAATTTAAGAAAATAGAGGTTAATCAAAAATTTTATAAGACTATGAGTCTCAAAAGGTTAAAAAGCATCAAAAATCTCATAAGTATTATAAGTTTTATGAGATACTAATATACTCAAAAATCATAGAAGGCTAAAAACCTTAAAAGATACAAGTACACTCAAAAATTTCATAAGGTTAAAACCTAAGAACGTCCAAATTCATTTAAAAAACTAATGTCTAATGTTTTATATTCTCTACAAACATAGAACTTAGAAAATATTAAAATAATCATGCTCCCACCTGAAGGGACAATATTTCAATTACAGTATATTGGACATCAAGAAAGATTTATCATAAAAATATATAATAATTTGATCTTCTCTTGGGTACCGTCTCTAAAAAATAAAAAAAATATATTATATAAAGATAGAAAGGTCATCAATTAAGATCACTTCAATCTTATATTTTCATTGAACTCATACATTCAAAAGTATTATTTTAAAGCAATATACAAAGCTATTGCGTCTGTAGGAAATCATCAAGCACTACATCAAAATCACCGACAATTTTTTGTGATATTTTATAGCCTTCAAACTCTATCACAGCTTCTGTTGGACAGTCTTATCTTCCTCGATGTTTGTGGTAAGACTAAAATTATGTCTCGATCGTAACTCATTGGTATTCAAAAACAATATCTTTGAACAAATATTCTCTTTTTTTAGAAGTTATTAGCTTAACCAACATTGACATACAATGTCATCATCAAGCAAAAAATTCAAATCTCATTTATTTTAAGGAATGACCAGAACCTTGCCATTAACATTGTAGATTTTGACTGCGTTCAAATTCAATTTGACTATGAAGGTCAGCCAAGTGATCTTGGTAGAGATATATTGGAGCCTGCAAAAAGGAACTACATTAAGCCTAAGCAAGATTGGGTTTAACCTCTTCTAAGAGAATAAGTTGAAGCTTACAATAAAGAAGAGAGAAAATATCAAGCTTTCCTTCATCCAAAGATATGTATATATAAAATGAAATCATAGCCACTCATGATTTTAGACATCAAATCATCAATCTCTAAAAACCTTAAAGTTTCACTGGATCATAATCTTACAAAAGAATTGATCAGAACTCTATCAGTATTAGAATATCCAATACTGTTAAAATAATGCCCACCCCCCCGCAACATTAATAAAAGAAAATCTCCAACTTCTATTGGAGAAGCATTAGATCCTGAAAGAAGATGCATCTGCCGATCCAAGACAGTGTCAAACCTCTATACAGAAGAAGAATGGAGCCTGCGAAGAAAAAATTATGCATTGACTATATAAAACAATAAAGAATCTTTCTTAAGAAAGAAATTTAAGCTTGCAATAAAAAAAGAAGATAAGTGAATTTTCATCTCCTCTACTTAGAGAAGAAGAGTAAAACTTTGTACTTTAAAATATATAGTCAATTATTTTGATTGAACTGGGCTGTGTGATTTAGCTAAGAGTGTTTTATTGTGACTTCATATAATAAATTGAGCCCATCAGTCTCCATTTATCCCCTATTCAAAGCCTGAGTAGGTTAGACCCATACCATGACCAAGATTTTGTATCCACAAAAGAGTGGTGTTTTAGTGGAGTGGGGTTGAGTTTTAAGGATGTGAGAAGCATTGTTTTTTAGTTAAAATAGAAATATGTGAATATTTTAACCTAATTAGAATATCATTTTAAATATGTAATCTAAACATGTGGCAAAAATACTGTAATTAAAAAAATATTTCTACCAATGCCGACTTTTCCTCGGCACAAGTTCTTTGCCTGAATTTGATATGATAAACAAAAATACAATCTTAGTATATTTTGCTTACCTGAATTAGCATGATTGTGCCCCAGCTCTTCCCTACATTAATGGTAGCCAGTCTGAGAAAACATGTTAAATCCAATCCAGGTGATGATCTCACCTCGAATCATTCTGGTTCTATGAACCAATCCAACCATAAGTCACGAATTCTATGAAGTGGAGTATAAGGAGAACAAGTTGAAGTTCTCACGGGTCCAAAAGCTTCTTGATGAATTGGCACCTATATATCATGGTCAAAATGACATCCCTCAAACTAGCAACATCCGCTCACCTAGTGAATGATTTCAACATAAAGATGATTAAGCTAGACGAATGGCATGGCAGCTTACTTCCCCTCAGGTCCGAATAGTCAGGTCTTGGGATAGTTTTCAAACCTAGAATTCATCTATTAGAAGGAGGTCATACATAATTTTATTGATTCATCATGAATCTCCTTGTAAAATTTACTTTTTTGTCATTTGGAATTCTTAATCAAAAGAATGCCCCCGGCAACCTCATTTAAGCAGGCAGGAACGAGCCCCTTTTTTAACCCATTTTTTCTACAGAAAATGGCACCAACTATCAAAGCTTAACTTGATCAGAATTACAATCTGATCCTGCTTCAATCCATTTGTTGGTTTTCAAATAAAATCTCTCATCAGAAACAGAAAGAAGATTGTTGATAGACGATCCCTTTCCTCTGTTTGCCATCTTTATCTCATACCTGTACCTGATCCGGTCATCCAGATTATAACCTAAGAAAGCAGGGAAACTCAGCAGTTCCCTGACCTCTCTTTCCATATCGTTGATCAAGAACTGCATCTTCTTCCCCAGTGACTCGCAGTTATACTGCAGCACTTGCGGGTGCTTCCTGCTCATGGCCAGCACATCCTCGCAAGAGAAGCCATAGCTGAAGAAAAGCTCAATTACTTTCTGCATGTTCTCAGTGCTCGTCCTGGTCACCGCACCAACGGCCAAGGCCATGTCCCTGGTCCGATACACGTATCCCAGCTTAACAAGAAACGCCAGCTTCTTGGCAAGGTTCTCCTCAAAGGACAGGCTCGTGAAAAGAGGAGCCTTGACGAGAAACTTAAAGATTTCCTCGGCATCCAAGCCGCACTGTTCGAGGAAATCAATTCTGGAACTAAGCTTCCTCTCTATGCTGACGCTAAAGATATTGGGGTACACAAGCGCTATCTTGAAGAGTTGTCCACCAGTGAGACCAACAGATCTCCAAAACTCCAGGTGTGACTGAAGGTGCTCAACCGTATATGCAAGGATTCCTGGCAGTTTACGGATCAAGTGAGAAGAGGACTCTTCATCGCCGCCAGCAAGATTAGCGAAGAACTGGGCACGGGGAATCAGCTGGTTATGCAGGTCCAGGTTGAGAAGATTGGGACGGCGTACAATGGTATTCGGCCATCCATAGCGCTGCAAGAACAAAATCATCTCCTCAATATCCTCGATAGTCTTCTCGCAGAAAGCCCTCTTGATATCAACAACATTGAGTAGATGCCCGAGCTTCTCGTGGGGGAATCCATGGTTGAGAAAAAGTTTGGTTCTTATTACAAGCCCTTGAAAGTGAGCGGAATGGGTGCTAATTAGAAGACGCTCGAGCTTTGTCGGCAGTAGTTTTACAGACTCTTCATGGACGAAATTGAGAAAGAGACCAGCCTCCGGCGAGGTGAGGATGTCAGGGCGCTTGATGATGGTCCGCCGGAGAGCAGAGTTGCCGAGCCCAATGGACAACAAAGTGCCTATCCGAAGACGAAGCGATTCAGGAGAAGCTGCAGCTACTGATTCGATCTCCGGATGGCGGTGGAGAAGGGCATCCACTTCGTATTGGTCTAACCTGAGTTCTGTGAAAAGAGAGAGGCTAAAGGAAGCATCGGTAAGGGCGATGCGGGTGAGATATCGGGTTGTAAGGTAGCTGCGGCTGAGAGAAAGCGCGGTAGACTGAAGCCGGGGGATGGAAGAATGGCTTGATGGGTAATGAGAAGGTGATAAGTGAACAGAAGGCGGAATTAGGGTCTCGGCTGTGGGAAGCGGGGAGCAAAGCTGGGTTGTAAACATGGATGGAGGTTGTGCCCTAGATGGTTCTCCCTGCTTCAGATGATGCGACTAGCGGCAATGGCTTTTAACCTTCCTCTAACCTACCTACCTAGTACCTACTTTTAAATTATTATTTTCACACTTTTATTTCATATAAAGATAATTTACAGTAAAATTATAGGAGATATAATGCGGATATAATCTCTCAGTATCCTTTAAATAACTTCTCTTACGTACGTAAATTTTTCTCCTTAGATTACGTGCACAACTCAGTTGCACTATGTGTTTGTTTAGAGTTGTTGTGCCTATGAAACTGTTCTAGAAGAAGGTACATTTTTTTTATAAAAAAAAAAGTAAGATCCAATCATGGTGATAAAATGCAACTTTCAGCTATACCTTTTCGAAAAATCAAACAAAATATAATTATGTCAAATTGAAAATAACACGATGCAATACTGTACCGCCACCCTAGACACACCTATAACTTTGTATGTCATTACCATGCTCATGATTGATATTTTACAACCCTTACGATGAAATTATTGAATTTAT